TGTTCTATCATTGTCTTACTAAAAGTGCGATTTCTTGTCTATAAAACGCCAGTCTTAAGAAGATTTTTAAAGATATTATTAAAGTGAAAATAAATTTTTTCAGTACTTTTGATTATAGTTTTCCTAATTCTCTAAGAGAATATTGCTATTAGAACCTTATATCACTATAATATTGGAAAACGCTTTCTATTTAAATATGAAATAATAAATATATCACGTGTTTTAAGAATATTCTATACAGGGTGATTCATTAACAATGGGAAAGTCGAAAGCTGAAGATACTACACGTGAAATGGTGACCATTGGCACAAACATGCCTTATCCGAAAGTTGATAATTTCGGAAATACAGGGTGTTGAAAGTTAAAATTTTAAATCGTTTTTTTGCGATTGTTCTGAAAATATGTAGGTTAGGAACTTGAAAATTTGTGAAACTATATTTTTTTAGGCGACGAATAAGATGCGTGTTGTAATTTCAGCATTGCTCATAGAGGGCGCCACTTACGACCAATTTTACCGAAAATTTAGTTAATAACATTTTACCCTGTATATTTAACATGAAACTTGATTCAAAACCTGAAAGAGCTATCATTTTTCCATTAATTATGTACTCTTGTTTCATTTCGGTATCTCGATCCGTTTTCGAGAAAAATCGATTTAACGAACACTATGTTTTGATAATATGAGAAATTAAAAGCGAAACAAACCAAGTGTTTCTTCGTGTTATTACAACAATTAACAATAAAACAAATAAAATACGTAATTATGATTTAAAGTAATTGTTCGAAGAATCCACCGTTGACACTGATACACTTTACACGTTTTCTGAGAGATCTTCGAGTTTGAAACAACATATTGGGATTGCGTCTGACTTCGTTGGCAGCGATTTGTATTCTTTGCCACAACTCTTCACACGAGCCAATAGATTCTTTGTAAACTATATCTTTCATTCGAGACCAAATAGAAAAATCAAGAGGATTGAAGTCCGGACTTCTGGATGGCCAAGCAAAAATGCTTACATGGCCAATCCAGCGATTTGGAAAAACTGCATCTAAATATGCACGCACTGGCCAAGAAAAATGCGGTGGAGCTCCGTCGTGCATGAACCACATGTCTCTTCTTAAATAAAGTGGAACTTCTTCAAGCCGTGGAAGCATTTTTACTTGGCCACCCAGAAGTCCGGACTTCAATCCTCTTCATTTTTCTATTTGGAAGAATCTATTGGTTCGTGTGAAGAGTTGTGGCAAAGAATACAAATCGCTGCCAACGAAGTCAAACGCAATCCCAATATGTTGTTTCAAACTCGAAGATCTCTCAGAAAACGTTGTGTAAAGTGTGTAAATGTCAACGGTGGATTCTTCGAACACTGACTTTAAATCATTATTACGAATTTCATTTGTTTTATTGTTAATTGTTGTAATAACACGAAGAAACACTTGGTTTGTTTCGCTTTTAATTTCTCGTATTATCAAACATAACTAGTGTTCGTTAAATCGATTTTTCTCGAAAACGGATCGAGATACCGAAATGAAACAAGAATACATAATTAATGGAAAAATGATTGCTCTTTCAGATTTTGAATCAAGTTTCATATTAGACATACAGGGTAAAAAGTTATTAACCAAATTTTCAGTAAAATTGATCGTAAGTGGCGCCATCTATGAGCAATGCTGAAATTACAACACGCATCTTATTCGTCGCCTAAAAAAATATAGTTTCACAAAGAGTAACCGCAAAAAAAACCATTTTTTCGCCCGTTTTTGCGTAGTGTGTAGCAAGAACGGGGAAGGTCGTCCAGAGGTCTCCGTGGGCCTAAATTGATCGTCATGAAAAATCTAGGTGAGCATAATTCGACTTTTTCCAATATTTGTCCGACTTACCCCTACTTAAGGGGTGGAAACCACCCCTAAAACAAGAAACGTGAGAAAATGGTCGATCAATTCTTGGTAAAAATTGGCGGGAATTTGAATGGCAAGGAAGAGATCAGGGATGTTCTTCCAAATATGCTCAAGGTGAAAAACATCCCCCGCGTGGGGGTAAAACCACCCCTATTGCCGAAAACCGGCGGCAAATGATGTTCCCTTCATGAATTGCCTTTTTTGTGCCACTCTTCCTTATAAATCCAAATGATATGAAATACATGCCCCCATAATTCGTTCTTCTGTCGGATTCTGATCAGTTACCCCTACTGAAGGGGTGGAAACCACCCCTAAAACAAGAAAACAGAAAAAATGGTCACCAAAATCTGGGTAAAAATTGGCGGAATTCCACATGGCAAGGGTAACATCAAGAATGCCCTCCTAAAAATGCTCAAGGTGAAAAACACCCCCCGCGTGGGGGTAAAACCACCCCTATTGCCGATAGCAGACGGGGAATGATATCCACTTCATGAAGTACTTTGTTTCCCCCACTACCCGACAAATGATACGAAAGACGGGCCCCATAATTCGATCTTTTGTTTTACCCCCACGCGGGGGGTGGGTTTATCATGAGCATTTTTAGAAGGACATTCCTGATTTTACCCTTGCCATGTGAAATTCCCCCAATTTTACCAAGAATTTATCGACTATTTTCTCATTTTTCTTGTTTTAGGGGTGGTTTCCACCACTTAAGTAGGGGTAAGTCGGGCAAATATTGGAAAAATCGAATTTTGCTCACCTAGATTTTTCATGACGATCAATTTAAGCCCACGGAGACCTCTGTACAACCTTCCCCGTTCTTGCTACACACTACGCAAAAACGGGTGGATTTTGCGGTCACTCTGTTCAAGTTCCTAACCTACATATTTTCAGAATAATCGCAAAAAAGCGTTTTAAAATTTTAACTTTCAACACCCTGTATTTCCGAAACTATCAACTTTCGGAAGAGGCATGTTTGCGCCAATGGTTAACATTTCACGTGTAGTATCTTCAGCTTTCAACTTTCCCATTGTTAATGAATTACCCTGTATATAATACAATATCATCAAAACTCTAGTTGATAACTTAATTTTTTTCTATCCTTAAAAGTAAAAAAGTTAAAGTGGAGTGACTTTAGAAAAAGCTTTATCTTGTTCCAAATGCATTTTACTTAAACTTCTGTATAGTTCTTGAAGAACAAATCGCGTACAATGCTGTTATTTTTTGTCTTTCAGTAGGGAAGTCTTTCATTTCGTTTAATGTCCGGAACTACTATTTTATCTTGCATGTTCATGTAGGATTTCGACAGTTATGAATTGCCACCGGTAAATATTGTTCGGATTGGCTGAATCGAATAAAAAGGTAACATTTTTACATAAATCAATCAGAATAACATTAGCATTGCGCGATTTAATATGGCAGCTGCCAAAGCTGTCCAGTTGATTTATCTGAACGTGTCGCATTTTTCAAAAATTAAAAAAAAATTACCCATGAATAAATCCGCAAATAGTTTGCAAAGGGTTTTCCAAATAAGAGCGATATGATTGTAAAATGAAAATAAATAAAAATTGTTTGAAACAAAACAACCAATATTTTTGTTTATTTTGAGTCATAGTCGACTAGTCATGTTTTAATAGTTTTATAGATGCAGAATTCAATATAAATCCTAACACATCACGGATTTGTTGTTTGTTGTAAATAGGGTTGTAAAATGTCCGTAAAACTGGAATAAATCAGCTTAAACTCCAAAGAGTAGCGTAATTATGTTCTACATGACACAACTGTCATAAAATTAAGACGAAATTCGAGATTTTTATTATTATTTTTTTAATTATATACATTTATATTTTTCTTAAACATTCTCGTAAAATGCTCTAAAATGGATATGAGCTTGGGTAGCGCAAAATTTGAGAAAATGCAATAAAAATCTTTGCCTTTTGTGTTTCTGAAGATAATTATCATCCTTAATGGTTTTTTCGTGGACAAACGAATACGCCCATATTAAGAAGCTGCTTTTATATGAATGGTTCGCGGAGACCATTGATTTCAAATAACTCTTCAAAAAGAATGTAAAGGAGGCAGTTGCATATCTTGGAACAATCATTTCAAAAATATATTTTTTTATAAGTTGATTGTGGGATTAGTAGTCCCCATCTACATATTGGAAAAATATTTTTTCAATATATTGGCCAAATACTGTAAACGACAGATTTTGACATAATACTGGTTAGGAATCATACACTGCGGAAATGATATATTTGGACAAAATTTAGAAAAAAAAGAGTTTTGACCCATATTTGGACCCAAATAGTGGATTTTCTGAGAAATATCGAGGTCACTAATGGTATCGTTTCAACGCCCCTAAATACTAGGGAAAATGATATATTTGGACAAAATTTATGACATCAGACCCATATTTGGACGTTTTCATCAAAAAATTTCACTTTTCTCCGAAATTCATCGGCAAGTCATGAATTTTGACCACAGAATCGTGTTCAGATCATCAAATTCCTTCGAAAATGATATGTGTATCTCTTGGGTTTGGACTTTTTTTTTGTGTCTGTGTAATTATTGTAATACTGATTTTGCTGATTTCATACGTGTTGAATATTATGAGAAATATACAGTAACAAAAATTAAAACTCATATGACCGATCTAAGTGTACTTTATCTTTCTGTTTATTTATGAAGACCGAGCTTGGTCCATGCTTTTCTCAAAGAAATATGTATCATAAGTCCATCTAAAAAGCACTTCTTCAATAAACGCTGAGCTGAACAGACGTCTCTAGTTTTATTTATTAGTCTAATTTCCAACAGTACGCAATGAGAAAAAATAAAATTACAAGTCACTTAATAATTTATCCTAATGCAGTAACTAAAATCTAACTATATCAAAATATATAGAAAGTTTCAGACATGTATACCAAAAATAAATGAATTCCCACTAATGGTTTCAAAACTGTACTGTAAAATAATTAATGAAAATGAAAAATCGCTCTGTATATCTACAAATTTTAACCCAAAACTTTTTTTAAGTGATTATTTCCCGCTCATCTATATCCTGTACATTAAGTACATTTGTTTAATGTTTATTTCTTTTTTAGATATCAGCCGAGACGTACGCCTCTCCGCATAGCGACGGTCTAACGAACATCAGCGTGGGTAGCGGAAACAGTGTACTTCCCCCAGCGGGAAGCGCTTTATCGGCCCACCATGAGATTCAACTCTTAAGGGAACAATTAGAACAACAAAGTCAACAAACACACGCGGCTATGGCACAGTTGCAACTTGTACGAGAGCAGCTTGCGGCCGAACAGGTATGTAAACTGATGAAATTTATCCTATATATCCCCTGTAAAGACATTGTGGATATGAACGACGGATAGATACAAGGAGAGGGTAATGGAGGGAAAATATACAGGGTTATTCATGCAACTGATTCATTGGAAGGAGATGAAGTTATCATGATAGGATTTTGTTGAAAATTTGAATACCTAGGTTACCGGCCATGAAGTTTTCAATGAAAATATTCTCAAAATTGTTGCACTTCCGCTTATACCGGAAGTTGCCATCAACTTTGTTACTTTAAATAGAACACCCTGTATATTATTGCATTTTTGGATTCTACGTTAAATTCCCTGAGTATTCAAATTTTGAACAAAATCCTATCATGGTAACTTCGTATCCTTCTAATGAACCAGTTGCGTGAATAACCTTATAATATGTATATATAAAGTCTGTAAGGCATGGATATACCGGACGTGAACGATTGAAGATAACTGTACACTTACAATTAATTTTAAATTAAAAAAAAACACTTTCTATGCTCACAAGTCAAAAGTTGGTTATTTTAAACGTCAAACTTGACGATCAGAAAAAAAGTTGGAATAAAAATAATTTAATAGAAAAACAAACTTAAACAACAGAAATAACATACAATTTGCACTGCTAATAGAAAATGTTCAAAATGATCATCGTTTTCTCTAAGGCTTAAATTTATTCTTCGTCGCAAATTGAAGTCTACTCTATCAAATAACTGCTGATTGTTTCTAACTTAGCTTTTAAAGACAACTTTTGAATTTTCGTTGATTTTAAATAACACAGCTACAATACGTATTATTATTATTCGTGTTTTTGTTAAAAAGGACTTAAGTTTTTTGAAAACTAATAAGAGTAAGAAAAGTGTTAGAATTAAAATAAAGTAATATTTTTTTAAATCCGCCAACGTGTTAAAAAATTCTGTCACATTTTAATGGTGCATCATCCCTTATCAAGCCTTTAAAATGCTTCAATTGAACTCTACTTATAGTCTATTGAATATAACCAAAAAACAGGGTTAAAAGGAACTATGACGTTCAAGCAATTTCATTGCATGAATCATTCAAAGGGTCATTTTAGATGAAAAAACCGCGGAGTGCTATTAAATTAGAGGGTGGAAATTGAAAATAGGGGTGAAAATGCACCCTTTCCAGTTTTGTAATTATAGCTCGAAAACGAAGCAAAATTTCGCTATAATTCATAGGAAAAATTTTGTAGAGAATTGTATTTCTCACCGAAATGGCTTATTTAAAAAATGTAAAAGGAACATTTTATGCAAAAAATCGTTAATAAACAATTTTAAAGAAAGCAAAAAATAAGATTTTTTTATTTTTTTTACTTTTTTAATAAAATAATTTAGTAAAAACTTTAGAATTTAAGTACAATAAAGTTTATTAATAATGTATATACAGTGTGTCCACGGATGGAGTTGACAAGATGAGAAACTCTTTTGATTTTGACTTTATCGAAAAATGTCACTCTTTATAAAAAGTTCTGCCTCTCGAAACAATGAGACTGTCATACAAATATCTTAGATTAGATATACAGGCTGCTCATAAATTAAAAAAACACGAAAATACTCAAGAGAGAAGTACCATTATTTATTATTTTACACATTTTTATAAAACATCTGTTTATAACCTCAAATAATGCCTAATACAAATTTTAAAATCAAAATTTCAATTCTGACTTTTACTCTATATGTGTAGCTACTTCCCACCTCAAAAATTAGATGAGAAATTAACTTCTCTACAAAATTTTTCCTATAAACTATACCGAAATTTTGCTTCGTTTTCGTGCTATATTTAAAAAACTGCAAAAGTGCATTTTCACCCCAATCTTCAATTTCAACCCTCTAATTTAATAGCACCCCGCGGTTTTCTCATTTTTAATTACTCTTCGAACAAGTACCTAATGTGATGAAAATCCTTGAACGTCTTATTTCCTTCCTTTATTGCAACAAATGAGAATTAAAACGTATAAGGGTAAACGCGACGAAAATCGAAAAATTAGCTAATTTTGAGCGGCCACATATCAGTCAATTTTCATTCAAAAATACTTTACAACCTCTTGTTTTGAAGGAAATTTTATCTACTTTTTTTTCTATGATGCAATGCCTATACCTATCTTTACTCAAAAAAAACTAGCGGCAAAAAAGTAAAAAAAAAACAGAATATCGAATTTTTTGCTTTTTTTCAAATTGTTAATTAATGATTTTTTTAATTAAATTTTCCTTATAATAAAGCTATTTCTATGAGAAAATTCAATTATCTAAATAATTTTTCCTATGAACTATAGCGAAATTTTGCTTCGTTTGCATTTTCACCCCTATCTCCAATTTCCACCCTCTAATTTAATAGAACTCCGCGGTTTTTTCATCTAAAATGACCATTTGTATAATGTGTAAATGTATAATGTATAATGAAAAAAAAAGTTTTACCCGGAAATATAAAATTAAGAGAAAAACAGACGATGTGTACAGGATCTTTTCTAAATAGTCTGAAATATTATAGGGAGCAATTCGTCACATTATTTTAAGAAAAAAGTTCTTATTAACGCATGTGCAAAAATGTTTAATTTCCAAAATACAGGACGTTGAGATTAATTTTTTTTATATATATCTCAATAATGGAATGTTTTCTTTCTTTCAACAACAGTTAGACTGTTCAAAGTTTGGCACGTGCGTGTAGGTAATAGTATCCAATAATTTTACAAAATAATATGCATGCCACTGACATTTAAAATGTTGTCAGTATTTTTTGCAATCCTCTTTTATGACCTGACAAAAGATGCCTCTTAACATTTTTTCATTCTCAAAAACCAATCAAATGTAGATTTGTATTAATTTTTCTTCTATCATTTCCATCCGTACTTTCAATAAACTGCAGCTAAATCTACGAAAATATAAACTTAAACATTGCCAATCTAACTCTCTTAATTTACCTGACGCACACCAACAATTTTCTCTCCTTTCATAAAATAATGTGTTAATCTATCTCGTCTCGTAGTAACTTGGAAGAAAAATTAACATAACTTATTTCCTCGCGCTTTCCACTTGCTTGTTTGAAAGACGAAAATTGGAAGTTGCTAATAAATGTCAGAAATGATTGATAAATAGAATGTGAACGAAAATAAACTATTTCCTTAATTTCATCACGTAGTTTTTAAACTCGCTGCTACATCTCCAAATATTTATTCGATATTGATTAGTGATATAGTTATTACGTCTACTATATGAGACAGTTTTTGAATGATTAATGGTGATTATCACTACATATTATAAAACAAAGTCCTACACCGCGTCTGTCTGTCTGTCTGTTCGCGATAAACTCAAAAACTACTACACCGATTTTCATGCTGTTTTCACCAACGGATAGAGTGGTTCTCGAGGAAGGTTTTAGTATATAATTTGTTAAGTTTTAGTATACATTAACGATATTTGTTGGAGGTGTCGGAAAAAATAAGCCGTCTGTAGGTGGGAATGTGTAACTTATATAGGTCTACAGAAAAGTCCGCGATGGCATATGTCTATCTCTTAAGGATAACATACTATATCCATTTTAATACTTTAAAAAATGGGCAATTATAAAGCGGTAATTGGAAAGCTATTTACACAAATACGGTATTAATCCTTATCATTTTAAATACGTTAGTTGGCTTGAGCATTTCATGAAGATTATTTTTTCCCTTTACACCATGCAAATTAAATGAATACCTTAGGAGATATAGCAAAATCAAAATAATGCGCAACGAAATTAATTTCGTGTCGCCGTGATTCGACCGGGCCGCGCGGGCGCCCCGTGACCCCGCGCCTCGCGTCCGAGCCGGGGGGGTCCGAAAGTTTATGTAGTGTATCAATGTATGGTGGAATTGTGTATCTTATATATGCCTACAAAAAAGTCCGCGATGGCATATGTCTATATGTTAAAGATAACATACTACCTATATCCATTTTAATACTTTAAAAAATTGGCAATTATAAAGCGGTAATGTAAAAGCTATTTACACAAATATGGTATTAATCCTTATCATTTTAAATAAGTTAGAGGCTTTAAGCATTTCATGCACATTATTTTACTCTTTTACACCATATAATTTAAATGAATATCTTAGGAGTAATCGCAAAAAAATTACGGACGCGAGAATAAAATTCAAGCGCCTCGCTTCGCTTGATGCGATCGCCGACCCTCCCCCCGCACCGTCTTGCCTACTGTTTAGCTAATAAGCCGAACGATAACGCGCGCGTGATCCTTTAATAAACTGACTTGGAGCGAATGGAGGTGACGACTGACTACTGTGTTTTCTTTCTGGGTGTTGTTGGAAAATTATAATTGCGTTCGATATTTTAAGGTCACATTTTTGTTTTGTATTTGTTGTCTTTAGGTAGTCGGAACATACATAGATACTGGCAAACATACTTTTATTTTATTGAGTTTTAATAATTTGTTTGTTTTTTTTTCTTATTGTGAATCATTTAAAACTTCATAGTCGCATTTTTGTTTCGTGTTTGGTTGCTTTAGGTAGTTAGATACCTAACTACTTACTGATTAATTAAAATTGATAGTTCTGAACATAGGTACTTTAATTCGTTTTGTTTTCACATTGTTGGTAGTTACCTATATTGTTTTAAATTTAAAGGTTTTGCATTTTTAGTTTTGAGATCGTTTGTTGTCTTTAGGTATATAGATATATCGTGAATTATTTTAAAATTAATATGAGGGTCGCATTAGATGAAAGATGATTGATTTTTTGTTTGTTACGATTTAACTCAAAAACTACTCAACCAATTTTACCGAAAGCTACATCTTCTCGGAGTAACATAGGCTATTTTATATTTGCCCGTGCGAAGGCGGAGCGGGTTGCTAGTGGCTTATAAAAATTATGAAACATATCGTATTTCCATTTTCTGCTATTATTATTTGCCAGGATTTAACTGAACTATTCAGGAGAACAGATATCGGAGTTTTAAACTTTTTTCAACAAAAATTTTTTTAAATGAAATGAAAAATCTCGAAATATATATTCTACGACTTTGTGTCCATTCGAACACGGACGCACTGTATAAAGTATTGCAGCACATTTCTGGACTTCGGAAACTTTGTGGCGACAATCAAGTAAATAAACAGTAGTAATGCTATAGTAAGCCGCAATACGCGTTGTAGTAGCAGAAACAGTTAAATTTGTGTATTAACTGCCATAAAAATACCTACCATACATTTAATCAAGCAGATCGTCAAACTCATTCACACACGCACAAACGACAATAAAATGCACAGCTAATGTCCCTCAGCAAAGAACCTCAGACGACAGGGCAGGCATTAGGGTGCCGCTAGATATGTATCGAATAAATTAATCGATGCGAAGCTTCAGATCAGAAGCAGACATGTACAAATGTGAAAATATACATCTGAGATTACTAAGAAACCTAGTAAGCCTGTTGAGATTAATATTTCAGTTCAGAAAGATAGCTGGGGAGTTTAGCTCTCTTTCCGAATTGAAATCTTCACATCCACAATTTCAAAGCGCCTTACTGCATACTGGGTGGTGAAAATTTACGCCGAGTTTAGGGAATTTCAAACTATAATAAGTTGTTTGTTTGTTTTATTGACGTAATGCACATTATATCTTATGTACAATATAGCTACAGGCATAGCTGAACGTGTTCAAGTAAAACTACAGTTTTTGTTGGATACAATTATTACGATTAATCTTGTCATTATTTTCAAAATTCTGCATATTTTTTCTCTCCTGATTACTGTACAATGACACGGGTAGTGGCATTAATAAAATGTGAAGTAATTGATGCTTCGCCATTAGTAAAAATAACATTTATTAAAAACTTTCACTTTTAGATATGCGCCTGTGACCTCGGTAAATGTTGAACGATCATTTTCGTTTTTGAAATAGGTATTTACCGATATACACTTAGGACAACTGTTAATTATTTTCTACAATCGCTTTACTTATGAGTAAAGTTCGGCGTTTTCGTCGGCTAGTCATAGGCGTGTTCGTCGGCTAGTCATAGGCGTGTTCGTCGTAAACAAATAAATAAACAGGTATAAATAAAAAGAAACATTTTTGCGTACTTTATCAGCTAAAAGTTGTTTTTTACCCCTTGACGCGTTCGACGTTATTAGAATATTAAAACACGTATACACGAAGTAAAGGCGAAGCCAATAACTGCCGTTAGTACCGGTTTCGTACGTAGCGCTGTAGCGAAATGCCGATGCGACGAAATTATTATTTTGTACTTATAATTACTATTTCATAATACGTCTTCATATACAGGGTGTATCTAAATAACACCGAAAAAATGTAAAGGACGATGATGTGATGAAAATTAATGGGGGTCTTCGGTATAAAATTTTTTGAAAAAATTCTCACCTGAAAAGTTACGCCCCTCAAAATTTTTTTAAAAAATGTAGTTTTTCTTTTTTATCTTCCATGTATATTAAGAAACCAAACTTGGTGAACATTATCTGTCAAAAAACTACACATTCTGAAATGTCTTCAACCCTGAAGTATTTTTGTAAGGGGTTGATTTGAGGCATCGCAACAAATTACCGGAGAAACTTTAATAAACGTTGTGACGTCGTTCTACTATAGGTTGGGATATTGCCCAATGGAGGGTGGGAGACAGTTTGAACATTTATTAAATTAGATTTTTTTATTCAAAGTATAATCGCATAATTGTGGTTATTTTATTCGTTTGTATCTTTAGGCATATATTAAAGAAAATATAGCTGTAACTCCTTTGTTTTCTAAAATTTTCTAGAAAACTACATTACTGTAAAGATAATTGAGTTATTTTTCAAATGACATGTCACAAACCATACTGTGCAATTTAAAAAAAGGGGTGAACTCTGTTGGGGGTGGAGGGAGTAAATGTAAACATTTGTTTAAACGTCAGTAATAACAAAAGGAATGTATTTTCTGAAGTATATTTGAACTCACTATTAGTTTAGATATCTTGCTGTTCCGGGACTTTTGGGACACAATATCGGAGGTGGCGGCCGCCTTTAAGGACGCTTTGCTGCCCGCCGACTCGTGGAGGTTCTCCCACGCCTGCCTGTAATAGCGGTTAAGGCCGCCGTTGTATATTCTTATAATGTAAAGAGTGCAGTTATAAGAAAGCAACGGCAGCGGCTGTGCCATTTTCTGTTGGAATAAAATTACATAAAAGAGAACCCGGCTTACAGCCAACCCTGTACCACATTGCAGCCGCCCTAACATTTCCGCTCTTTACTTATTTCTCTTTTATATCGTAGAGTGCAAGGTTGGAAGCACAAGCTAGAACTCATCAACTGCTAGTCCATAACAGAGAACTACTGGACCACATTGCTGCTTTGGTGGCCCATCTTCAAGGGGGAGAAAAATCTGGGCAGCAACAAACTCCTCCTCATATGGCGATGCCTCAGGTATGTCTATCAAAAATGAGTGTCAATTTTAATTAATAAGTGTTGCTTGCTGAAATTTTTGTTTGCGCTGTCCGTTTATTTTTTTTTTATCTTTTATTTTTAATAACACATCTTACTACTTAGAATACGTTTACAATTTGACAGACAACATACAGGGTAGCCATAATTTGAATTAACAGAAAAAAATTATTTAAATAATACAGTTCGAGAATTAAGTATTTGGTCAATATTTAGCGTGACAGAAAATTATTTTCTCTTGTGCTTCTTTTTGACTACTTTTATATATTTTAATTTATAAAGTAGATGAATTTTTAATTATGAATCCAGGCATATAATAATATGTCATTTTATAAGTGAAATGGTTGATAAAATAAAATATTGATTCTAACAATAAACGTTTAGTCAAACAAAGCTAAAGCAATTGTTCAATAACGAAAAAAGTGGTCTGTTCCATCGACTAGACCTATGTATCCTAATGTATTTCAACACGCTGAATTTGAATCCGGGGCCAGAATTACTTCTTCACTCTCCATTTTTTTTAAATCTCGAAAAATCAGCCTTAAGTACAGAAAATATGGAAAATCTCGTTTTGGGAGGGATCAGAATTAGATATAATTGTAAAAAAACAACTAAAGATGACTGCTGGATCATGTTTATATGTATTTTAATACACCGATTCCAAATCCAGGGCCAGAATTGTTCACCCCTCATTTGTTAAATCGCGAAAAATCGCCCTTAAATACATAAAATAATAAAAATTATATTTTTCAAAACTAGACTTGTCCAACTTCATCTTTAATTTCCTCTAGTAGATTATCATTTTTGACAGTACAAATACATCTGAAAGTGTCATTCATTTTCTGTTCTTCTCCACAACGGGAACACATTTGTACCTATTCCACTAGCCCGCTCAACGAAGCTGAAAGAAACGTACGAGAATTTACAAATAGTATTAGAGAAAATAAAGTACGCAGAACTACAATGGACAGTTTGCGGCGATCTTAATATTTCAACACTGATTCTTGCATGGCAACCTGAATTAACAAAAAAAAAGTGTTTGTTATGTCTGTGGGATAGTAGAGACAGAAAGAATCACTATGAACAGAAAATATGGCCAGATTTCCATCCAGGGTTGAATAACAACATCCGCGAATCCTTAGTTGATTCTTCAAATCTTCTGCTTCCACCTCTCTATGTCAAATTTGATCTCATGAAACAGTTCGTTAAAGCTTTGGACAAAGATGGCGATTGTTTTGGATATTCAGAGAAGTTTCCGGAAATAAGTGCTGCTAAACTGAAAGAAGTCAAATCTGTACCGTGTTCAGAGACGAAAATTTTATCACAAAAATAAATGATACTGATCTTGGAGTATCAGAAGAATGAGGATTACCAAAATTTAGTTGAGAAATTCTGAGAAAGCTTCAAACAGTGTATTGTCTGATGAACGTGAAATTGCATTTTCTAGACTCTCATCATGACTACTTTCCGGAAAACCTCGAAGACTACAGCGAAGAACAGGGTGAGGTGAACGGTTCCACCAAGATATCAAGAAAATGGAACCAAGGAAGGTGGGATGTTAATGGCAGATTTCTGTTGAATGCTTAAAATCGAAAGAGAGCGAAAAGCACAGAAAAGAAGAAGAAATTCGTGCTTAAAATTGTTTGAAGATAAAAGAGTTCATTGCAAAAGGAAAAAGGAATAAAAAACATATTTTCTTCTCTGGAAACGTTGTTCACATCTGCGAATATCCTCATCTCTCTGCGGGTATCAAATGGTTGAAGTTGTACCTCTCAGATTTTAGGATTGTTTTGCACGGTATAAATATACTGGAGCGTGATAGAGTGATTCTGATTTCGGATTCAAAATGTATACATATAGATTCGCCCTGCAGTAAGTTCCATTCTCTAGAGTGGACTTTTCTGTATTTAACAGTTTTTTTTGGTGATTTAAAAAAACTTTTGATTTAATATAAAAATGTATTATAAATCTTTCTGTTTTTGTCAAAAATAAAGTCTAAGTTTTTCTATCTACCTAAGTTTTTAAATTTTTTATTGTAAATTTCTCAGCAATACATTGCTGTACTACTCGAGTCTATTTAAATCTAAAACAGTTTCGTAAAGCAAGTAACATAGATTAATAAAAGAAATTCGTTATTCAAGGAAAATCCCTTTTTCCCAAAATATGTCTAAAATATCTATTCAAATTGAATTGTTTTATACCGCTGAGTAGATAATTCACTCGACCTTTAAAAATGAAATGAATGTTAGTAAAGATCAATTTATTATATTATAGTGTGCCTTGATCAGATGAAATCAATCTGCCCGAGCTTTACTCTTTTTTCTTGATTCGGAAAAAAAATAATAATAATAAGAGAAGATAACACCTAATTTTCGCAAATTATCGACTATATCTTAACTTTATTTGAAATATACACCCCGCTTAAAAAAAAAACATTTCGTTTATTCAAATTCCGCTACCTTTTTTTTAAATAATTTATATAAAAATATTTATATAGAGGTATAAAGGCGAAAGTTAATTAAAAATATTGGCTTCGTTTATCTTTAGTAAATGTATTCTATGTAAATTGTAACGTGATGCGTTCCCGTAGGATTCAAAAGATTTTACTTCTAATTAATGTAATTAATGTCCTAAATATGGAATTGAGATATGAAGAATTGCAATTTAGAACCTAAATTCATTATTGGGTTGTGTTACGATATAATTTGATATGATAAATAATATATTTAATTTGTAATGATATTTAATAGCCAAACAGTAATTATAATAAAAACATCAAATTGTTGTAAAAACATGTGACTGTAAAACATCAGAAATTTGATTAAATTTGATTGTCGCCAAACGCCAAGTCTTTACATAGTTTTAATTTACTTAACCGTTATTTACAAATCTGCGATTTAGATTATTCATGGATTATTTCACATTATATACAGGGTGTCGTGGTGATACAGTGACAGATTCGTGGCATCAAAATAGGCAGATTTAGGCTAATTCACCTATATCCAAAATGACTTCGTTTGGCCGCTAGAAGGCCTCAAAGTTGGTGAAAATTTTTTGAATTTTGTAAATAACTCGAATACGTATTAATCGATTTGGATTATTTTTGGGGTGTGGACTTTTGCTTTCAATATACACATTTTGGTATTATACATAGTGTTTTTTTAAACTTGAAACTCCTACAAAATTGATGTATGGTGATAATATCCGTTCATAACTTTTTCCTCTTACGGGCAATAATGACAACTATTTTTTATCTGATAGGTGATACGATTTGGAAATTTTTGGGCCACTTGCAGAATTTTGATTAAATGAACGGTTTGGGTACAAAAAATTTTTTTTTAAATCTACATTATCGTGCCACTCAGATTATAATAGTTAACAAAGTGTTAGTAGGCACTGATTTTGTAGGTTGACTGTAATTTCAGTCTGATCTTTAACTCATTGTACCTGACAATTCTTAGTGAGTGTTTACGACGATGAAATATACTACCTGTTACTTCATTTTTCGATATGCATACACACATACGATGAATTAGAATTATTTATAATGTGCCTAATTTTATTCAAAAAAATAGAAAAAACAATCAAATACAACGCATTGATTGCATTATTATTGACCCCGTTATTCTACCCAATAGACTGAATGCCGAATTTTATTTAGAATTTTTGCAAAACAGTTTACCCGAGTTATTGGAAGGTGTGCCGTTATTGCTCAGAGCTAACATGTAGTTTATGCATGATGGATCTCCACCATATTTCACTGTCAATGTCCGGCAGTATCTGAACCAAAGATTCCCTCTTCGATGGATCGGTAGAGGGCATAATGTTCCTGTTAACTGTCCTGTTCGTTCACCAGACTTAACACCTTGCGACTATTATCTTTGGGGTACTTTGAAAACAACAGTTATGCTTCCACATCTAACACTGAAGAAGAATTGTGGGAGACATTCAAATTGCCATAAATGTTTTAAAAAATTGCCCTCAATAATTACAAATAACTTTCTTCGCCGAACTAACCTTTGTTGTAGAAACAACGGTGGTCAGTGAACAGTTTTTATAATAAGTTGTACTAAATCTAATAACATCAACTTTGTTACTTTTATCTCCAGTATTTTTTATTGTCTTTGTATTATTTTTACTAATCATCTTAATAAAATTAGGGATGTTGTAAAAAATTTGTCGTATGTGTGTGTGTATCCATATCGAAGTAACATATGTTATATCTTATCGTAGTAAACACTCATTATGAATTGGTAGGTACAGTGACTTAAAGATCAAACTGAAATTACAGTCAACCTACAAAATCACTGCCTACTAGCACTGTTAAGTATTGTAATATGGGTGGCAAGATAATGTAGACATTTGAAAAATATTTTTTTTTGCACAAACCGCTCATTTAATCAAAATTCTTCAAGAGGATCAAAAACATTCAAATGGTATCTCCTATTAAATAAAAAATAGTCATTATTGCCCGAAAGAAGAAAAAGTTATGAACGGATATTATCAGCATACATCAAGTTTGTAGGAGTTGTAAGTTTTAAAAAATACTCTGTATAACACCGAAATGTGTAGATTGAAAGCAAAAGTCCACACCCCAAAAATAATCGAAATCGAATAATACGTATTCGAGTTATTTACAAAATTTAAAAAATCTTCGCGAACTTTGAGGCCATCTAGCGACCAAACGAAGCGATTTCGGATATAGGTGAATTAGCCTAAATCTGCCTATGTTGAGTCCACGAATCTGTGGTCTTCCATTGTACACGTTATTCTGGGACACCCTGTATATATTTTTCTTTACTATTGAGCCTAGTTTTAGTTTTTCTGGTTCAGTTCAAATACCTTATCAAATAGGAAGTACTAGTTTTCAAGTTACATTTATCATTTAAATCTTAACATTCGCACGTAGTGGTACATTAGTCAGTTCATATGGATATTGACAAATCATTTTAACATCATAAGTAAGTAGACTTGTGACTTCT